TAATATTCAAGATGTATGTAAATATAATAAAAGTAAACCCACCCTGCCTCGCACTTGTTGGCCTAAAATACCAACACTTACTAGCCAACAACTTAACCTTCTTCCGAAGGACAAGGAAGCAGAACACCAAATCGGAATGAATGCACCCATACTTTGTGAGCGCGATGAGAACAGTCTCAGAGTAAGAGAGTGAACCATCAAAGGATATACATCTTCAGGGCGCCTTCTACAGAATGTGGCGCTATACCAGAGTAGCCGAGTGAGCTCATGCTGAGACCATTCAATCTTGAGTATGACGTCTTTAAGAGACTGGCTCCACACTTGCGAGCAGTGCTCGAGATGTGGTAGGACGAAAGATCTTCGTAGACTCAGAAGAATGGATGGTTTTAGCAATGGATATTCCTCACAAGTATTAGTACAGAGTACGCCTCCTTCACTGCTCGTTCACTGTGATCAGAAGTTTTGAAACTAGAACCTAAAGCATGTCAAATTTTTTTAGTAGATTTAAATGTTGGAATCCTGCTTGCGGGGCGCCGCTGCTGGAGATATTTGCAAGATAAACTAGTCCTAACTCTAACAGTCATGCTACTTCGCTGTGAAAGAGGCCTAGTCTGATCAAGCACCTCACCATAGGACACCGTAGCACACTGGTTTGATGATAAGGATTTAATGAAATACTTTGAGAAAGCCTTCGACAGGTCAAGATGAATAATTTCTACTGATTTCTCTGGTTAGCAGCAACGCTAACGTAACACAACGTGTCAATAGAATGTGTGCAGTTTGAAGCTCCATGGAAAGGACCATGCTGATACATGATTCGGAATAGGATTCAGACGACGTCAATAATTCATTGAATATCATCCATCAATTTGACAGGTGTGGAAACAAGGTCAATCGCTCTGTGGTCTCTAACAGTGCTCTCAAAAGAATGTTTGGAAATCGCCGTTATGATCGGACCTATGATGACACTTGAGCAGCCTTGCACCTACACACCTAACCTTCAAACTTTCTGACGCAAAACTTTCACAAGGTTGTTCATTGTGGTCCTCATTATCTCCCTACTGAAAGCACAAATATAAGTTTGTGAGCAGCGTCCCCGTATTTTTCAGATATTGGAATTATTCATCGCATAAACGAAAATTTGTGTCTCTAAAGTCGTTTTATTATGACAGCTAACGGCCTAGTTATTGAATCGTTTCTTTTTGGGATTGACTGAAGGGGAGGAATACGAGAAAAGAATACCTTCCTTCTAGTGGATTCCAGTGAGAAACGGCTCAGACAATATACGGGTTGCGATTTTTTTCACATTCATCCTTCTTTCCCAAGGAAGACGGTACCCGCCAGAACTGAAGAAAGTCAATCCGATAGTAATTGTTTGATCCACCTCAACACAGCAATGTATGTCATACCGGCCGCTTGAATAGTTCTTCTACATACTGAATGCGCCTTTATAATAAATTTGACAAGTATCGTGGAGCAGTTCCTTATGTGTTAAGATCTGATTAGCAGACCTGACGAAGAATAAATACGTCGCTTGCATTCGCCTGGGAATTCGATGATCAACAGATCACAGATGATGTACACCCCTTATCCCTTAGGCGGGATTTAGTGCATTTGGCGCGTTGCACAGCACATACGTAGCGTATGGATCTGTAATATAATATTCTTGCTGAATCTAATCGAAGCGGACTAGAAGTTTTGGAACATTACAACTGAAACCGTAGCTTAGGGTTTACAACGCCTTTATAAACGTTCTTTCGGTGAAATCAAGGAAAAAAATATCGGGGACAATGATTCGAATCGATTCCTTCATCTATATCTACACCATGGTATCATGATCGGCAGAAGGAACAGCATAACGGTAGGACAGTTGGATGACAAATATTCAAAGGGACAATGTCTCACTCCAACCGCTCCCTCTGCCCGATGTCAAGTACCAAAGTTTGTCAACAAAATGACAACAAAATAAATACAATAGAAGAATGGTGTCACCAAGTATAAGCTCACAACTAGAAATCATCAAAAAGCTGACAAATCTCATTGTCATCATTATCTTATACATTGACCACTCTTAATCTATAATGAACAAAGAGATGTATTTCTCTCCGCGTTTCTGATGAAACTCAATAAATCAGTTACATCAAAAACAATCACTTTACGACGAAAACAATGCACACACAAACGGAAACAACCATATGTTTTGAAATGTCATGAAACTCGGGAGTAAATTCTGGTATGGTAGAGATGGTACACGGCGAAGACACGACGTATTGATTTCCCAACGAAAATCACATCACGTGGTTATTCACTGGACGAAATCGATAATCTATATTGAAGGTGATGCTGGTTGGAATTAAACCAAAAAGCTCGGCAAATGGATCCTTTGCGTGGTCAGGAAGAGAACACTTTGAATATTGTCTAGCCCTCGAATGCGTTTTTAGTAAACGCAGTGTTCACTTTCCTGTGAAATATCATGGTTAGCATTCACAAATCGCTAGCCAAGGCGACAAGTGGAGAGACAGACACACAGGGTGTTTTTTGCTCCTCGGATTTTGGCTATATTTTAGCTTCTAGTAATCAGACAATATTCAAATGTGTTCAGATTTCCTGACAAGAATTCCAAATATATTGTTAAAACTATAGTCTGTTTCAATGCAACAGTCGGTTGCAGTGGCTTGTTGCGGACAGGAAAAGTGGGATCACATTTTGGCAGACGCGCCTCTTAATAGTATACACCTCAGGCCCTCAAGTCTGTTTCTATGGTTGTTGAGGTCAAGGATGAGTAGAAAAATCTTGAAAGATTGTTAGTAATGGGAACGGAAAAACAAGAATATGAAAATTGAGTGCAGGCAAGCTGCCATAGTGTGGCAGGAGCTTACTCCAAGCCTGTCCGGAACCAGTTTCTAATTCAGAAACTTCCACCCTCTGATTCAAAAAGCGACACCTCTGCAACCGATCTGTACACTCAGCTATTTGTGTAGTAACCGTATGCAGACTGGGTGGCAGCAGTGAAACAGACTTGCAAAAACAATAGAGACTCCTAGCTAAGTTCGTTGATGATATTTGTAATATCCATTCGTTATTGGCATCGGAAAAGATTTGTTAGGTTTTGCTGCCCTCTTCCAGGGCAAACAGCACTCCTTGATAGGTGATGCCGTTGATTTCCATTGACACCACCATAGAATTATCGGCTTGTTGGCCTTCTGAAGATAAAAAAATGAAAGATAGAAAATAAAGTATTGGTTGGAAACTAGATGAAACTAGGCACTCATTATGTGGTAATTTTCGCATAACTGGTGGATCTTTCAGCTTTTAGTTTTCTGCGCTACACTCTATCTCCCGAAGATGGAGCGGGCGTGGCTGCGTACTCTATTTAAACCTAGCAGCGGCAGCCACTCTACTAGGACCTTTTCGTCTGGGACAACTGTGGTAATGTCTACGCATGATGGAAGTTGTTTCAAATGGGAACACCTCAAGAAACACCCTAAATTAATATGGGGTGAACGCCACGCCCTCCCCATAATCGGGATATGGAGTGTACGAGATGCATTGACGCGTGCCGTCGCGTTGCGCCAACGTCGCCGCTTTGGTCACCTTCCTTTTTTCACAAGCTAGAGCTTCGTTGCTGGTTGAGTTCCATTTATTAAAAACTGCCTCTCCTAGGGGAGCGAAAATGGTATAGCTGAACATAAGCAAAATAGGTTAGGGAAAATAGCAAATGAATGCCGCAACGCGACCGCACGCGAGTACGTATGCACTTCTCGTTTCGGAAACGGACATCCTGTTTTTTAGGGTGGTTTTGTTCTCCAATAATTTGTTTTTTGCTGTTTCTAATTGGAATAGAGATGGATAAGTGGGCACCTGGTTTCCTCGTGGTGATCTTCATTTGTCCACCAGTATTCACAGGGGTATCAGTGGAGGGTTCTGCTAATCGTGCTCGCTTGACCGGCGCTTCAGAATCCACTGACGACGGTGAGGCTCGTCCAGATGGTGCCATCGTCATAGCACCATGTCGTGCCACAGCTTCTGCTGCCGCTCTGAATTTTTGCAACATTTAATACAATCAGATCAGGAAGGGAGCAATAGGTAGGCTGGAAGCGCCTCAATCGGTTGGAATTTGAGCTTTAAGACCGTGAAAATCCACTGTGGAGACAGAAGTCATTGCACAGCCACTCTGGCCGTTGCGGTCTTCTGCCACCCTGACGGGGCCCCTTCAAAGCCTTTCACTCACCGTTGCGCTCGTTCCATTTGTCGTTGTTGCGCCTCGAACATTGCCATTTGCTCAGCTCGATACGCGGCCAGGAGATTATTTTGTGGCAATGGCATTGACAACCCGTTTTTCTTCGTCTATGAATTCTTCAAAAAAACATAACTTTTGAAAAACCAAAGTCTGTCTAGTAGGAACACATATGAGAGCCTGTGAAAAATTGCATCACAGGTACAATTACCGTTTCTCATTCCGAGACCGCTGAATGGTTTTGTGAGAAGATTAGCCGCTGACGACGCATGTGGCAATGGATATCCCAACGGGCCGAAATTTGGCGCTGAAGCATTTCGTCGACCTGAAACTCGTAGTTCTCAAGTGTAATTGATTGATCGATGAGGTCGAGCTAGTTCACCTTCTCGTCGGTTACCATCAATGGCGGCTTGGAGGTCTGAGGGGTTAGAGAGGGCCTCTTTTTCACATTCGTAGTCGTACAGATACTTCTGATACCTGAACAACTATGTATTTAGGTTGTGCTGGGCTAACTTTCATGATAACAAACTGCGGCTACTTTAATTGAGCTAAACTCACTGGGTACGAAGAGTGAAGGCTGCTGAGGTGATACTGGAGGGCAGATTCAGGCCTTTGGTGATTTCTCGCCAGAGTTTCTTGTTTATAATCTCGACGAGACCTCCATGTTGTACAACTAGGCGGTATAACTCGTACAGGTCCAGTACCTGCTTGGCCATTATAGGGATTCGCGTCACCGGTTTACCTAAAAGTAGAATATGAGAAGTGTTAATTATCCTCCCTGAAAGTGAGTCACTCAAGGCTTGAACAGGGCGCTCACTAATTCTATAATTATTTATTCGATGCTGGTAAACAGCAGACAAGGAGCGTAGGTGGTGGTGTTTAAATATGGAAGAGATGTTATAACTTGACTTGTGTGTGTACAGAAAATGTCAAGGGGAACGCCGGCAACATCTCCAGCAAGGCCCCCTCCAACCCCAAACAATTGTACTGATAAAAGGCCAACAGATTGCTTGCTGGTACGAGTCCTGTCGGCTGATTCCTTTCAATGAATCCAGTGACTGCACTAGCACAATAAAGCATCCATTTCATGCTACTTGCACTATAGCATCGCTTTTGGCTGGGAAGGCGGACTTTGAAGGTGGAGTCTGGAGGCGGAGTCACTGGGAAAAGGGAGGTGCCACTGTAGCAACTTAGCGCCTTAACCCCTTTGATTTGCAATTCCGCCGCGAAACTGGCACATTGCGGAACACACTACCCTTCCCACGCAATCTTTTGCATTGGCATATTCAACACACTTTAGCTTTGCCAAAATGCTTTATTTTGAAACTTTAGAAATCTGTGATAAACGTTTCCTGGAGGTGACTTGGATGAGGGGATGAAATTGGGAATTCCTTCTCATATCCCTCTCAATCTTGCTCTTCTTAAGTTCACCTCAATAGCAGCTATGCTTCACATCCCTGCCCTGTAATCACTTCACTCAATCGATGATAAATTAAGGGCCACGCAGAGCGCTGTGAGGGGGTGGAGCAATCGGCACTAGATGGTCGAGAACAACATGTCAAACAATCTGAATATAATCAGAAGCTCAATGTTTGCTTTAGAGCGCTCGAGCGCTCGCG